TTATTTATTTATTTCTACCTTTACTTTTAAAAATAAAGGTAGAAATAATAAAGGAATCATTTACTTTTATAAAATAAAGATAAATTTTTTTTTCATTTATTTATATTTATTTTTTAAATATAAATGATTCATTTAGTTTTATCCATTATTATAAATGAAAAATAAAACTAAATTAACACCCCTAATACATATATGATCGTGTTTATAATTATTTAAGAGTGCACAAAGCATTTCAAAAAAACAATCTCATTGATGCAGTTTTTCTCTAACATCAAGGTAGAACACTGTCACGCTTGAGAGAAAATTGAATGTAGCAGTAGCACTAGATAGCAAATTACATTATCATTCATTTACATTAGTATTTGAGCTAAGGTAATAATATGTTTAGTAATTTCTAGCAGTAATGATATATCTCTTTCAAAAGTGCGAATGACGCAAAAACAAACTCGCCTGCTCTTTTCGTTTTGTTTGGACGAACATCGGGACCTACTTTTAAAAAACTTCCAACTTCGCGCTCTATCCTCTCAAAAACTAAGTGTCACTTTTTTCGTCTGCTTATTTCTTAAATAGTTCTCAACTGATGCTAGTAAAGCCATTAGGTTTTACTTTTTGACCGCAGCATTATGCGTCTAAGTGAGGCTCTTTAAACTACAAAAATATACGGTTGCACATATTCTGTTTTTTCAAATTATACACTAATTACGATGACTCATCGCGACGATTCTGCGATAAAATGCAAGATATCGTTTTCTTGTTTATTTTTGCTGTAAGAATACAACACAAGAATATAAGAACCATGTATTTTCTGGCGTTGCGTTAGTGTGACCTAAAAAGTGTCATAAATCGCACATTTCTGCAGAAATCGTAAAAAAAATTGACAGGCACAAGTCTGCTTTTGAAGTAGTGCGAGCAAAACCTATTATTTCAGATTATGTCTCTCTTCCTGTAACTGTACAAGAATAGCGAAACTGAACCGTTCTGTCACAGCTATGTTCGTCTCTTCTAGTTTTCAACAGACTAAGTCAAAATGGCATCATCAATCATCAATAAAATATTAGGCAAACCAGGTGAGAATTACGAGATACATCATGATGAGTCAACAACAATATTTACTTCACAAAACCACAGCTGGCTCATCGTATCCGGATCCTCTGCTGATACGGGTAGCGTCGCAAAGCATACGGTGGCCTGCGATAGTGTCTGTGTTAAATTGTGAAACCACAGGCACGCACCAATACAATATCTTGGAATCCAATATAATCAATACTAATAATATTGAGCTCCAATATCCTTGCATAACTTTGTATGGGTATTTCCATTGATAGTATATCACACTTTACATGAAGGTATGGCGTATATGAGACAGCGCACGATAGCGACGAACTAAGTTGCTCAATGAACTATCACAAATTTTTGTCAAGCTTTTAGAGCAGATAGAGAAATGTGTCCTGAACATTTTTGTCTCTTGACGTTTCGGAAAATGCGGAAAAAAAGCGATTTTCCTTACGCTAAAATTCCGTCAAATCAAATGCTAATGAGCTTAAATTTTTAGAAGACCTGTCTTAGTATGAGTACTATCCATGATAAAAATTTGAACTTGTTTGAGTTAAGCGTTCTCAAGGAATAGTTTATTCTTTAGACATAGACAAAACGTCATCGGCCGTTTTCCAAAGAGCTTTTTGCAACCGAAGATGGTCCGTTTGAAGGGCTCTCTACGGTTTCATAAAGTAGACCCAGAGTACTATCATGAACCGCCGCCGAATTTTTGGGGAAATGACGGAAAACCCTCGGGGCATCTTGTCGGTAATGGTCAGCGCACCTCGGAAAAACCTGAAAAGTTGGTAAAAAAGGATTTGGCTGCCACGGACGAATGAAAGGTTATCGTTCAAGAATAAGATGATATTTGGAATCCAATTCTCTTTCTAGTCAATGTCTTTTTGTTTTCTGAAAAACTTAGCAAAGGCGAAATATCAAGGGCTTCGGAAAAACATCTCTGAAAAATCGAAATTTAATGTTAAAGATCCCCGATTTGCTGAGGGCGGTGGGAAATTGAATTCTGCATCGAACTATTGAATGAGAAAAATGTTTTAGTTGACGGAAGTGGCTGAATTTCAAGATAACTTTCGAAAAATGTTTTCCGAAAAACCTTGAAAATTTGAAGTTTGGGGGGGGTTTTGCTCCTCCTATGCACTGCGGAATGTTCATTTATACATATTCAGACGTAGAATTTCATTCTACGTCGAATGGTGTATAATTCAATTGGATTTGAAAGAAAAATTTTCAGGTTTTTCTGAGGTGCGCTGACCATTATAGACAAGATGCCCCGAGGGTTTTTCGCCAAAAATTCATGGTAGTACTCTGGGTCTACTTCACGAAATCGTAGAATGCCCTTCAAATGGACCATCTTCGGTTGCAAAAAGCTCTTTGCGAGCTCTACACGACGTTTTTTCATCGAACTACATTCAATTTACGAAAGGCCTCTTCACTTCAAAATCGGCAAAATCGCTAGAAAAAGAGCAAGAATGATAGAAAAAAGGACCGACCGGCCTTTCGTAAATTGAATACAGTTCGATGAGAAAACTTCGTGGAGAGTTCGACGACATCTGATTTTGTTCAGAAGTGTTTGCTCTACACGAATGGGCTGTTCCGTTGGAATCGTGGGATTTGGATCTTTGGGTTTTCTAAAATCTTGATTTTCCAGGGATCTGATTTGCAGGAATTTTAACACAATTTTCGTATACTTCTCATCTGATTATAAATTCTTCCAGCTGCTCAAATCTTTTTTCACATTTGTTCTAGCTATTATGGCCGAGAAGAAAAATTAAAACACAAGGTGCATTAAAGTTTTGTCCGTCACTTTACATGGAACAATATTATACAATAATATATACGCCATACCTTCATGTAAAGTGTGATATACTATCAATGGAAATACCCATACAAAGTTATGCAGTGTTTTGCATTATCATTCTTCGTTCCCAACTCTTAACCTAAATATCATGTACATTCGTAGGCGTTAGAAACGTAAAATAGCCGAGTTATATAGTTGTTGTTAAAGACTACTTGAGAGAGAGAGAGAGAGAGAGAGAGCGGCCTGGCCATAAGGGCAAATACTGACAATCTGGTCAAAAATTGACTTCCTTTTTTTATGCATTAGATACAGTAATCAAATTACCTTTAAATCCAAATCCATAGACTATGAAAGTCTGAAATCGCTGAGACACAAAATTTCTCGGGAAAGACACTTGAAAAAAGAGTTAGAAACTGCTGTTTTTTGTATTGCACTTTCTCCGTTCTTGGCTTGGAAATCCGAATTATATTTAAGTTGAAAGACCGAAAAACACTGAAAAAATCATGATACTTTTTAACTTTTCAAAGTCTAGTGAACTGTAGAAGAAAACCAAATTTTTAGAAACTTAAACCCAAAAATACCAAATTTTTCCAGTAAAACCGACTTTTGTGGTCTAAAAGTGCTGTTTTTGCAAAAATAAATTTTACACTATCTGGTAGAGGATTTAGTTCTCTACAAAACTGACTATTTTAAGTCTAAATAAAAGTAGGATGATGTGTCCGTATGTGAGTTACAATGAATGCCACTATAATCAGTGATCTTAATTATTTTACTTTAATTATTATCTTTTCTGCAATAAACATAAATTCTGATGATTTCTAGTACTAGTAGTAGTAAATTTTTTGCTAGTTTGTTTTTTCGAAGGGCTATTTTTCCTCGGTCGGTATTGATGCGTGCTAATCGTATTTTATTATCGATCTAGCAGAATCACCTCTTGATTGAATTACATTCTAGAACAACTTCGCGTTCTAACGTAATAGTCTCCTCGTACACCAGTCGTAGAACAACGGAGATGGCAATTTGATACCATGGCGTAATTTGAGTTGTATCAAAAAAGTCAGCAAATTAAACATGTTGATGAGACTCTTTATAATAAAGAATAGGTCCACTCACAAGGGTATGAATCGACAAAAAGGCACCAAAAACAAGACGAAATATTTAACCACGTCGTTCGAGTGGCCGGAAGAGGACTGCATTCAAAAAGTTACAAAATACGGCAATCTGTTAAATCATACCCAAGCCGAAAAAGGTCACAAAAAGTCATCATGACAAAAAACATCAGTTTTTGAGGAACTTTTCCCGGACATTTCGTAAAAAAATGCCTAACTCGGCCAGTTCAGAAGGTCTTCTACAGCTTTAGATTTTTAGGTAACTTGATTGGGCTATCCGATGCATAGATAAAAAGCGTAGGTCAGTTTTTGGCCTAAAATTTTCTCTTGTACATAGACCTCTGTTTAACGATGAATTAATGACGTAATGTCGTTTGTTTTCAAATTTTAGACCGATGGTTTACGGAGAAACATCCCACAATTCATCCGATATCTACTGATCGGATAGCAGCCGGTTCAATTGATCATGCCGTATGTTCGATTTGCTTTAACATCTTACTTGATCCCGTTGCCTGTACAACATGCGAAAACCCATTCTGTAAACGATGTATTCAAGAATGGTTAATTAAAAACCCTTCTTGTCCATATGCATGTGTGCGATTTCAAGAACGACGTTGTCCACCGGTAATTGTTACTATGTTATCCAAATTAAAAATAAAATGTTATTATCAACAAAATGGTTGTCCTGATATACTAAATTATGAGGCATTAAAACAACATGAAATAAATTGTGATTATGAAATAAAAAAATGTCGAGGCTGTAATACAAATTTTATTAAAAGAGATATTATAGAACATGAAAATATATGTGGTTTTATTAAAATACGATGTCAACAATGTGGAGTAACGTATGAACGACATACTGAACATGGGAAGTTAGATTGTTTATTAAATCGACAGATACAATTGGAAGAAAAGGTAGAACAATTACAACAGGAGAATAAATTATTAAGAGAGAAAAATGAATTCATTTTACAGAAATTAAAAGATAGATTTGGAATACAACCACCGAAATAATAAGTAATAAGGACTCTTTAGAATATTATTAGATTCAATTACGAGCGTTCTACTTCAACAATTACGCTTAACGGTTATTTTAACAGGTTTCCATTTTTCATTTATTTATACATGGTTGTCGAGAACACTTCGATTTACCTGAGAAATTATGGTTTTTCATTTTTGAGGACAAGTGTTAAGGGAGAAATCTAATAAACAAAAAGTTTTTGAAATTTATTACAATCAGGCTAAATTTTCAAAAAAACATTTAATTTCGGCACCACACTTACTTTGATTCTCGGAAACAGTTTTAATATGATCCAGCATCAAAAATTGAATATGAATAACCAAGTTTGAAACTTAAAATGCATCGAGGATAAATCGATCGAATTCAAATGAAAACTTAAAAGTTATTAGATATTTAATCTACATGGAAACTATATAATAAAATAACAGATCTTTTACAAATAATGCGAGTATATTTGTTTTTGTTGTTACTACAAACGGTTGATAACAGTATTTCTGTTCATGTGAGCCATTCAGTTAAATGATACCATGAGTTAGGTTTACATGATCTGATGCCTCCAAAGAAATAAAAGAGAAAACGGACGTAAATCATAAAAAGGTGAATAAATTCTTGATATCTATATTCTTGGTTTTATATTGTGTATAATGCATCGTGCTTCAACAAGTTTTGCATGAGGATCACAGAGACGATAGTGAGTCATCACTATCGGTCCTATTTGGCATTTGAAAAATAATAGTGGTTCACAAATAAACATTCAAAGGAAGTTTGTTCGACACCAAAATTAACGTGTAATATCATCTGAATAAACTAAATGATAAGTTAAATTCACTATTCGATTTGTTTGATAAGATGTCAACTAATTTTCAATGTATTTAATATATAAATTATAATGTTCAATCATTGTTTCATGCGATGGCAATTTGACATTACCCGAACATAATTAAGCAAACCAACATGCTTGCATTTCAGCTAATGGCGGTATGGTACCAAAACAAGGTCGAACAAGTCCAACAAAACATCGTTCATCACCAGTGAGTATATGTACAATACAAAATAGGTTTAAAGCACTCCCTCTTATAGAGTATATAAAGATAAATATTTCATGAAAATATAAAATTTGCTCCTTTCAGATTCTATTCTTCAAACAGAAACACAGAAAAATGCCTGCTCTTATAATAATGTAAGTGAAACATAGCGAGGAGTTGTCTTTGAAGAAATAATCAAATTAATCTAATCAGATTAAATTAGAAAAGAAAACGAAGTTTCTATATATGTTGCGGACAAAATTAGAATTCAGTCAAATTCCGAATTTGTCCGGACAGAATTGGAATTCTAACTTCGTCCGCACAAAATTAGAATTCTAGTTTTGTCCAGAGTTTCTTCGGACAAAATTAG